GTTTGTGAGGAAAGTGCACAGTTTGGCTTTAGACACTCAGGGCCTCATCTCAGGACTGTGGGTTTCCTGGTTGGGTTTGTTTAGTGTTGTTGGGATAGGATTAAGTCACTCCAGCAGAAAGGTACAATTGGCCTCAGAGGAGGAGGAAGTAGAGCTAGAAAAGAATCTGAGGAAAAGTCATCAGAGATGTAGAATAACTGAGAGAAAGGTTTTATAGAACCTTGGAGGAGAGGTTTTTATCCACAAATAACAGGGTTACAAGTACTGAGGCAGTAGAATGAATAGCTAATTGATTTTGGTAAAATGAGCATCAGACCCACAACTTGCAGCCAGCTTGAAAAGGAATCCTGATGCTCCTGCTTACTCTGAACAACTTATTGAACTTCACTCACACCCAGTCCATTAAGATGGGAACAAATAAGCCTTTGAACTAGCCATTCATTCTGAGCATTCAGTGAAAAAATGTGTATAATGAACGTAGCACAGCCCTTGCCGTTGTAGCTCAGTTGGTTGGGCGTCATTTCTTGTACAGAAAGGTTGCTAGTTCGATTTCTGGTCAGGGTACATGTCGGGGTTGCGGGCTCAACCCCCGCCACACCGGTAGTGGCCATGCAGGAGGTAGCCAATTGATGTTTCAATCTCTCACATCAATGTATCTCTCTCTTTCTCTTCCTCTCTTTCTAAAAATCAATAAAAATACTTAAAAAAAAAAGAAAAAATAATGTAGCACAGGCCTGAATGTACATCAGTTTTAGATGCTATTATCGTGAACAGGTTGTCAGTTCTCATTTGTTCTTAACTAATATTTGTCATGTGCCCGGTGTTGTGCAATCAGATTTGTATGGATCATCCCGTTTATTAGGTGACTTCCCAAGGTGAATTGTGCTCTGCGAGTATAGAAACCCAGGAAATATGGTTCAGAGACTGACTCCTCTTCTTCTGAAAGAGCATTTTCAAGAGGGAAGGAAGTAGCCTGCAAGGGGCACGGAGTGGGAGGAAGGAAGGAGATGGGCAGATTGTAGAACATTCTTTCAGGGAATTTGGAGATAGAGGTAAGAGGGAAGTGAGTAGTCAAAGTAAGATTTCTTAAGAGAGACCTGAGCTTCTTTAGTGATTATTTGTCTTAGGTAATGAACAGCACTTATAAAGTCCTTTGAACAGTGTACATTTTTTGAGTGATTGCTGCGTTGCTCTTAGAATTCCCCTAATGTATGTGGGTGGGACATTGTCTCCAGGGAAGATGCGTCCAGTCTCCTCTACCTTGGTTCTACAGCAGGCTGTTTGCCCAGGCAGTCCTAGCTCCGGGCACAGCAGACCTTGCACCTTGAAATTCTCAAATTTCTGACAGGATACCATTTGTAACAGTGCCTCCTTTTTGTTATTTGGTGACAGGTCCTGAGGAGAGGGGAGCATAGATGTGGCTCCCCACTCTATCCTGCTTTCTAGTGCCCACAGTGTTGACAACCACAGGCTGAAATGGGGAGGAAATGTATTTGTGCCAGGGCCAGGGACCTGCCAGCCCCTTCCCCATGCAAACCATTTAGTGCAGTGGTTCTCAACCTTGGCTGCACATTAGAATCACCTGGGAATCTTTTTAAAATCCTGATTTCTGGGCCAAGGTTGAGAACCACTGATTTAGTGCAGTGGTCGGCAAACCGCGGCTTGCAAGCCACATGCGGCTCTTTGGCCCCTTGAGTGTGGCTCTTCCACAAAATACCATGTGCGGGCGTGCACGTACAGTGCGATTGAAACTTCGTGGCCCATGCGCAGAAGTCGGTTTTCGGCCTGGGCAAGTCTATTTTGAAGAAGTGGCATTAGAAGAAGTGGGAGGTGTCGGTCGGTGGGCAAAGGGAGAGGGGGCGCAGGCAGGCCGCGGGATACGCAGTGCCGGGGAGGCGCACGTGATTCATGCACGAATTGAGTGAGCCAGTCAGTCAGCAGTCTCATTGTGCAGTGGTTAGTGAACTTAGTCCACAGCACAAGTGGTCTGCTTTGAAAGACCTGGAGAAGGAAGATATGTTGATTTTTAACACCTGGAATAGTATTCCTGACTCATATAATCAGCTGAAAAACTAGCATTTGCTGTTCTTTCCTTATTCGGGTCTACATATTTATGCGAACAATCATTTTCAAGCATGAACCTTATCAAGAGTAAATTGAGAAGTCGTCTTATTGATGAGAACCTGGAATCGTGCCTAAAATTAAAAACAACAACATACAAACCTGACTTACCCAAACTTTCCAAGGAGATGCAAGGCCATTGTTCACATTAGTGGTTGTCAGTCGTTGTCATGATTTAATTTTATGGATATTGTAAGGTAAATTGTAAGGAATTTAATTTTATCAATAAATAATATCGTTATTAAGTATGATATCAAGTTTTATTCAACGTACCTATAGTTTAACTAAGACTTAAAACTTTGCCCTAGCTGGCTTGGCTCAGTGGATAGAGCGTCAGCCTGCGGACTGAAGGGTCCTGGGTTCGATTCCTGTCAAGGGCACGTGCCCAGGTTGCGGGCTCCAACCCCAGTAGGGGGTGTGCAGGAGGCAGCCAATCAATGATTCTCTCTTATCATTGATGTTTCTATCTCTCTCTCTCCCTCTCCCTTCCTCTCTGAAATCAATAAAAATATATATAAAAAAAAGACTTAAAACTTTAAGTAAAGTTTATTAAGTTAATTTTAGGGAACGTTGTGGCGTGAAAGAAGACGTAGTGTCGAGGATTGAGAAAGGTATGTTGAGATGGTTTGGACATATAGAGAGGATGAACAAAAGGAGATAGACTAGATGAAACAAGTATACAAGACGAGTGTGGATGGGAGAGTTGGAAGGGGTCGACCTCAGCGAACGTACCTCAATCAGATTGAGGATGTTTTTAGCAAAGGCCAGCTTAGGAGTACCCTAAGTAAGTTAATAACAATGTACCTACCTATATTGTTTAAGTTTAAAAAATTTGGCTCTCAAAAGAAATTTCAATCGTTGTACTGTTGATATTTGGCTCTGTTGACTAATGAATTTGCCGACCACTGATTTAGTGGAACTCAAGCAATTAACAGACTGCAGTAAAGTGATCCCTGAATAAGTACCATATTTTTCCGTGTATAATACACTATTTTTTTCTAAAATCATTAGACTGAAAATTGAGGGGCATCTTATCCATGGAAGTCAGCCCAGGAGGGAGCCATGCTGGGATATATGAAGTGCCTCATATATCCCAGCTACAAAGGCAAACTGACAAGTCAAACAGGCTTCCTCCAATCATGAGCCTTATTACTGACGTCAGCTGATGCCATAATGGGAGGTGGAGGTGGAGAGTGCACAGATGCAACAGGGAACGGAGCGTTCTGAACCCATAAAGATGTCAAAAATAAAAAGATAAATACTGGTAAGCGATTGTCTTACTCTGCAAAATTCAAACTGAATGTAATCAGCTATGCAAAAGAGCATGGAAATAGAGCTGCAGAAAGACAATTTGGACCTCCTCCCACTGAGTGTATGATCAGACAGTGGAGAAAACAGGAAGAACAACTCCTTAAGATGCCAAGAAAAAAGGCCTTAAGAGGAAAACCAGCACAATGTTTAAAATACTGATTTCTTAATTTTGGGTTGGCAAAGTGGGGGGCATCTTACACATGGGGGTGTCTTATACCTGGAAAAATATGGTAGTTTCCATTTCCCACTACTATTACAGAGGAGAGAAAGAGAAAATGTCATTCTATGTAATCTAGGATGTCTCTGACAGAGCCATAAGCTGGTGTTTGCATCTGCCCTAATCCAGTGATCACAGGATAACTCCTGTGTGGGGCAGGAAGTGGGAGTGGAAGTGCCCCTGCACTGATTGCACAGAAACCAAGACTCCCCATGAATGAAGAGATACCGAGGAAATAGTGGTTCAGTGATGTGGTAGGTAATGCTAGGTAGATTGTGAGGACAGGAAGTATAATTTATAAGACATGGAACTTTTATCCCTTATATAAAAGGGCCAGGTTGAACATATCATAAATCTAAATTTCCCCCAAATAGCAATGGTTATACTGCAATACAGTGAAAGAGAGTTCTATCTTTTCTTTTTTTCTCCACTAATCCCATCATGACAGTACTGAGTAGTTAACAATATATATTTGATAATGGAATGTTCATAGGCATCTGCATTTAGTTTTAATTTTCTCTTATGGGAATTTTGTTTTTATTTTAGAAAAGTAGTCTTTCATTGAAAACATTGAAGTGAGCTTAAAATTATGCAAAGAAATGAAATTTTCTTCACTTGCTAATTTTCTGTTTTAAAAATTACCTTTCTACAGATTTGTGTGTATAATCTGATTTGTTTAAATTCCCACTCCTTCAATGGTTGGATACTTCCAACCAAATTCTGTTCTGGAATTTTTTTTTTTTTATCCTCACCTAAGGATATGCTTATTGATTTTTAGAGATTGGGGATGGGGGAGAAACATGGATATGAGAGAGAAACATCGATAGGTTGCCTACCACACTTACCCCGACTGGGACTTAACCAGCAACCTAGGTATGTGCCCTGAATGGGAATCGAACCCACAATCTTTTATGTATGGGACGACGCTCCAACCAACAGAGCCACCTGGCCAGGGCTGTTTTGGAATTTTTTTAATGTCTCAAGTACACTCACAGGTTTGCAAATTGAGTTTTTCAAGAATATACACTAATATAAAATATTTTAAAATTATCTTGTATGTCAGGATCGGGGAACCTTTTTTCTGCCAAGGGCCATTTGTATATTTATAACATCATTCGTGGGCCATACAAAATTATCAACTTAAAAATTAGCCTGCTATGTTTGGTCAAACATTTAATTAACTCACCCCTAATGCCGTGACAGGCCCAGACCAAATTATTTCACAGGCCTTATACGGCCCTGGGGCCAGACTTTCCCCACCCCTGTTGTATATGATATAACCTTATGCATTTTATTTCTGTTTACTCTACTATGCTCAGTCTTCTTTTTTTTTTCTTTTAATTTAATCCAGAAATAGGCAAAAAGAAATATTACAAGTACAGCAAAGAGAAGACATTAAAGTGGCTGGAAAAAAAGGTATAGTACCCCTCCAGTGCCTATGGCAGAAAGAATTCAGTACATCTTTTTAAAACTAGAGAATGTGGTAAGTCGTAAACCAAAGACTATCTTGTATTTCTAACTAAGACAGGAAAACTATGTAAGGATATCCAATATGAGAAGAAATCTTTTACTTTTCATCCTCCCTAACTCATGTCTCTGGAGTTTGCTAGATGGGTTTTTTGTTTGTTTGTTTTGTTTTGACCTGCATCCCCATTTTCCCATGATTTTCACCACTGAATGAAAGAAGTTCTTGCTCTTTGTTGGTGTAGATTTGAATCTTCCAAGCTAGACAATACCGGGCCTGATATGCATTTGCTGTGGTTGGTCCTACAGTTGTCTCAGAGGTGGGTGTTGCTCACACACAGCCAGGCAGGGGCCTGAGGCCGACTGGATTCAGGCTTAGAGGATGTGTGTCCTGCTCTGTATCTGGCTGCTGAAGAGGAGTCATCTTCCAGGCACACTGTGTACTTAGTGATGCTAAGAAGTAGACTGACTGCATGTAAGGTCTGGTAGTGTTTCCAAATTGGATTTAGTAAGTCACAATCAGTATTGGTATGGGATAGGATAGATAGGATGTGTTAAAATTTAACAAAGTAAGGACAAGTATTAAGTATGGCTCTATGAAACGTATTTATATGTGTGTTTCAGTATTGGGTTGCTGTGTATTTCTTACTGTGGGTTGTGGCCAAAAAGACAACACAAAAAATACTTTGAAACCCATTAGTCTAAGGATGCAGTGTACTTTGACATTGGTTAAGAATCTTACCAGAGGATATCTGTTGCTGACAGAGTTTTTGCAAATCAGTGATACCAGTAGTTATAGTACTGATTCCTAGAATTCTCTTCTACTGTCTTCCATCTTGTGAAAAACCTTTTTATCATATGTTACTGGGCATATTAGTAGCCTGGGAGCATGGAAATGAACTTATAAAAGTAAAATTAATTAGGCTCCTACTGTACAGCATAGTGAAAAAATTTTAAAGGTGCCTCTATGTTTCATTTTTCATTCACCTTAGTAATAGTCTACTATTAGTGAAGAATGAATGTAAGTACTGAACCGAATCTTGACGTTTAGTTTTTGCTCTTAACAAATAATAATGACATGAATAGCAAAGTGAAATTTGTATTTATTATGTTTTCTTTCTTAAATTTCTAGGATTTGGGAAATTTACATTATTTATTTTGTTTAGAAAATTATTACATATAAACTTTATGCCAGGTTCTGTTCTAAGGGTCTTTACATACAGGGTGGGGCAAAAGTAAGTTTGCAGTTGTGAGTATGTGAAGCAGAATTTATTCTTGTGTTATTATTTATTAACTTGTATTATTTTCCATACAAATAACTGTAGATCTACTTTTGCCCTACCCTGTATATTAACTCATTTAATCTTTATAACAATCCTATGAGGTAGATACTATTTTTATCTCCATTTTACTGAGAGGTTAAGTAATTAGCCCATGGTCACAGAGCAGAACCAAGCAAGCAGCCTGGTTCCAGAGTCAGTGCTCTCTATTGTGTAGCCCTTTAAGTATATGGAGATCATCCTGAAATGCTATGGCTGCTGCTCAACCTTCTCCAAATATGCAGCTGTCTCTCATCTGATATCTGCTGAAGAAATATTTCTTCCTGGATCTTAAATGAATTGAAGACTTATCTGGAAAGTTGTGGATTTCTAGAGTTAGTTCAAAATACCCTAATATTCCCCTTTTGGTTATTTGATAGGTTAATCAGACTGTGGCAGCATTAAAAACCAATAACATAAATGTTGGTGCCCGGGTACAGTCAACTGCATTTTTCTCCGGTCACCAGATTTCCAGTGACAAGGAAGGTAAGTAAATAGATTCATCAGAAATTATCTTTGTCTAGAGTATGTTGCTTATGTTATAAATGCCTATCTTATGATTTTAAAACCTTAATGTTTCAGAAGTTTACATTCTTACCATGTCTTCTCATCTTGTGACAGGTGTGCATTTCATTTCAGAAACGCGTAATGTTTCTACCATAGGTCACATCTGTCACTAACTGATACTTTTAAATCATTCATTCAGCAAATATTTATTTTGCACTAATAATAACAACCCTAACAGCTCTGCCTTTCATTTACTGAGGGTGTATCATATGCCAAGCCTTTTGCTAAGTTGCCAGTATACACACATTATCTCACCTGACTCCGGTAAGTCTCATTCTTGAGGCTCTGTCCAAAGTTGCATTGCTGGTAAAATGGTGAAGCTAAGCTACTAAGGAGCTGGTTTAGACCTAAGCCCACACTCAAGCTTCTTGTTGTATTATTTGTGTGGTACAGGCTGTCTAGTGAGCTGCATCTGTTTGCATCTTTCTCTAAAGAAGCATCTGTCCTACATTAGGTCTCAGCACTTCAATTTTAGATAAAAATTGATTCATTTAGCAATTTTTTATTCTTTGGGGTTATTAAAGTGCATTCTTTTGGTGCTTTTTCCAGTGTAGTATACTCTTATGTATATATAGATGTTGAATAAAAACAGCTATATAGTGCAATTAACATTCTCTAATGGTGGAGCAGAAATTATTCTGACTTTAACCTTCAGTACAGTGTTCCCCTATTCTGGGTATACAATTCTGAAACACCTGACTTCAGTCATTAAAAAGTAAAAATAGGGACAGTGCCCTGTTTGTGATTTATCATAATTGAGGCAGTCTTTGGTTTGCAGAAATATACCTTGAACACCTAGTACAGACAGATGATAGCTGGCTCCAGCCATTCTGGGAGTGGTGGACAGCACCCTCACTATACCAGCTGCCATCAGGTTCTTTGGTTGGTTTTAACAAAAGGAAAGGTTGTAGCAGTCAGATAAGTGGATGGATAGATGGATAAAACCATAGCATTTTTTTTAAGTAGGAGAAGCGATGTTAGAGGTTATTTAGGCAGATGTCATTTTAAAAAATGAAAAATTGGAAGATTAAAAATGGCAGTGGAGTAAGTGGATGCTGCACGGACATGCTCCCAGGACCAAAATGGAATTACAGCTAAAATACAGAAAAACTTCCTTAATAATCAACTGAAGACTCACTGGAGAGAACCCTGAAAACCAAGGATAGAAAGTGGAGACTGCATAGAGACTAGTAGGAGGGACAGAGGCGCAAAAGGGCTGGCTGGGCTCCCACAATGAGGTCCCAGGCTCCCACATGAGATATCTCAGCTGTGCGGGATTGCCACTGAAAACTCTGGGGTCTAATCCCCAAGCTGGGCCTCCCAGAACTGAGAAGGGTACCCACGTAACATCTGACTGTGAAAAGCAGCGGGGTTGCTGTCTACCAGGGAGAGATGGCTAGAAATGCAACACATTTAAAGGGCCAACACACAAAATTCCCTCTGGAGCCACTCACCTTGTACTCTGGCAGAGGGAGAACATAGTGGACTGGAGCTGTGTGAGAAGAAGACAGGATCAGGGTCTCTGGGGGTTAGAAACCAGAAGGCAGACACCCTGGTTTCTTGTGCTGAGTCATTCCCTTGCATTGAGGAGGTCATCTTTCTCACGAAGACAATTGCTATCTAACTGTTTAGCCTCGGGGGGTGAGGGGGGAAGAAAGTTGACCCACTCTATTGGAAAACACCTTGCCTTAAGGTGCAAAGTATCTGAAGCCCATTAAAAGACTGAAAATAGCAATTAGCCTCCAGGCAGAAGCAGTTGCCCTTCCCTGTTGAAAAAATTCTCACTACACTTGTGGACGATTGCCTGAGGGCTATTCAAAACAAAATCCTTTAAGTCTGTAGGCAGAAGCAGTCTCTAGAGCAGGGGTGGGCAAACTTTTTGACTCAGGGCCACAATGGGTTCTTAAACTGGATGGGAGGGCCGGAACAAAAGCATGGATGGAGTGTTTGTGTGAACTAATATAAATTCAAAGTAAACATCATTACATAAAAGGGTACGGTCTTTTTTTTTTTTTAGTTTTATTCATTTCAAACGGGCCCGCGGGCCGTAGTTTGCCCACGGCTGCTCTAGAGTCTTTGAGTCTTTGCCTGATCTAATTAGTCAGAAATAGCACTTGACACTATTTTGCACTAAAGATTGAGAGGCGTAGCAGATCTATCTAATACATAATCACAAACCCAAACAGGCAGCAAAAATGAGGAGACAAAGAAACAACCCCCAAATGAAAGAACAAGAGAATTCTCCAGAAGAAAAGATAAATGAAATAGAGATATCAACAAAATATTAGCAAATTGGATCCAGCAATATATTAAAAAGATCATAATCGTGACCAAGTGTGATTTGTTTCAAGGATGCAAGGCTGGTACAATATTCACAAATCAATAAACATGATACATCACATAAACAAATTGAAACACAAAAATCACATGATCATAGCAATCGATGCATAAAAAAGCATTCGACAAAATCCAGCACCATTTTTGATAAAAACTCTCAGCAAAGTGGGAATAAAGGGAGCATATCTCAACATGATAAAGGTCATAAATGACAAACCTACAGCCAACATCATACTCAATGGGCAAAAACTAAAACCGTTTCCCCTAAGAACAGGAACAAGACAGGGATGTCCGCTTTTACCACTCTTATTCAACATAGTACTGGAAGTCCTAGCCACAGCGATCAGACAAGAAGAAGAAATAAAAGGCATCCAAATTGGAAAGGAAGAAGTAAAACTCTCATTATTCACAGATGATATGATATTGTACATAGAAAACTCTAAAGACTCCACCAAAAAACTACTAGATTTAATAGATGAATTTGGCAGTGTAGCAAGATACAAAATCAATACCAAAAAATGGATGGCTTTTTTTATACACCAATAATGAATTCTCAGAAAGAGAAAAAAAAATTCCATTTACTATTGTAACAAAAAAAATTAAGATACTAAAGAATAAACTTAACCAAGGAGGTAAAAGACTTGTTCTCAGAAAACTACAGGACATTGAAAAAGAGATAGAAGTTATAAACAAGTTGAAAAGCATACTGTGTTCATAGATTGGTAGAATCATCATTAAAATGTCCATACTACCAAAGGCAATCTACAGATTCAATGCAATCCCTATTAAAATACCAATGGCATATTTCACAGATCTAGAACAAATACTCCAAAAATTTATATGAAATCAAAAGAGACCCCCATAGCTACAGCAGTCTTGAGAAAGAAGAACAGAGTTAGAGGAATCACAATACCAGATACCAAGTAATACTACACAGCCACCGTAATCAAAACTGCCTGTTACTGGCACAAGAACAGGCATATAGATAAATGGAACAGAACAGAGACCCCAGAAATCAACCCAAGCCATCATGCTCAATTAATATTTGACAAAGGAGACAAGAGTATACAATGGAGGAAAGACAGTCTCTTCAGTAAATGGTGTTGGGAAAATTAGGTAAATGCAAAAAACAAAAACAAAAAAAACTAGACCACCAACTTACACCATACACAAGAATAAACTCAAAATGAATAAAATACCTTAAACTCAAAATGAATAAAATACCTAAATGTAAGTCAAGAAACCATAAAAATTCTAGAAGAAACCATAGGCAACAAAATCTCAGACATCTCTCGTAGCAATATGTTTACGAATACATCTCCTAGGGCAGTGGTTCCAACCTTTTTTGGCCATGCCCCACCTAAGCATCTCTAAAATCCTGATGCCCTCCTGTGACATATAATTCTTATTCAAAAAGTGAACTCCTCTTCACATGGTGGAGGAAGGCTAAAAGGCCATAAACTTGGTCTAAACAAGCTTCCAGAGAACATGGCATCCAGGAAAGAGAAAAATAAAAGAACGAAAGGACAGTTGAAGTACTGAGGAAGAAATCACCTAGAAATTGTTAAAAAACAACAACAAAAAACAATATAAAGTGATATGAAAAAATAGCAAATAAAGTTTCAAAACATATAATAGATAACTGAAATGCATAAATGTGACACTATGTATTCATATACTGTATATGAGGCCCCTAGAACCATAAGAAATGCAAAAAGTTCACTGTTAACTCATTCTCAAATTGCCCCCCTTAAAAATCAAATTGCCCCCTGTGGGGCATGTGCCCCACATTGGGAACCACTGTTCTAGGGCAAAGGAAACTAAGGAGAAAATAAACAAAAGGGACTACATCAAAATAAAAAGTTTCTGCACAGCAAAAGAAACCATCAACAAAATGAAAAGGGAGCCCACTGTATGGGAGAATGTATTTGGCAATGATACGCCTGATAAAGGGTTAATATCCAAAATATATAAGGAACTCATGCAACCTAACAGAAGGAAAACAAACAATCCAATTTAAAAATGGGCAAAAGACCTAAATAGACAGTTCTCCAAAGGGACACACAGATGGCCAAGAGACATATGAAAAAATGTTCAAAGTTCACTGATCATCAGAGATGCAAATTAACACAACAATGAGGTATCACTTCACACCATCAGCAAATCAACAAATGACAAGTGCTGGTGAGGATGTTGAGAATAGGGAACCCTAGTATACTGCTAGTGGGAATGCAGACTGGTGCAGCCATTATGGAAAACTGTATTGAGTTTCCTCAAAAACTTAAATATGGAACTGCCATTTTATCCAGTGATCCCACTTCCAGGAAGCTATCCTAAGAAATCAGAAACACCAATCAGAAAGAATGTATGCACCCCTACGTTCATAGCAGCACAATTTACAATGGCTAAGATCTGGAGACAGCCCAAGTGCCCATCAGTAGATGATTAGATAAAAAACTGTGGTACATTTATACCATGGAATACTATGTAACAGTAAAAAAGAAGAATCGCTTACCCTTTCAGACAGCATGGAGGGACTTGGAGAGTATCATGCTAAGTGAAATAAGTCAGAGAAAGGCAAGTATCACATGATCTTACTTATATATGGAATCTAACAAAATAAACTGATGAACTGAGTGGATCTGGAGACATGGAACCATGAGTGTGGAATCTTGGAGAGAAGGCAGGGGAGGGTGGGTGGGTGGGAGGTAATCACCCAAAGACCTTGTATGCATATATGCATAACCCATGGATGCAGACAGTGGGGTGGTGAGGGCCTGGGGTGGGTGTGGTGGAGAAAGTCAATGGGGGAGAAAGGGGACATATGTAATACTTTCAACAATAAAGATTAAAAAAAATAAATAAATACAAAATGAGAATTTGTGGTCTCAGAGAAATGGACGACTGTCCCAGGTCACCATCCTGGCTAGGAGGCCAGGTCATCTGCTCCCAGTCCAGTGTTTTTGCTAATCTCTACATATAAGTGTATATTGCCATTTAGTGTCCCAGCCACTCTTTATGCTAGTTCCTTTTTCAAGATCTCTAGCTTGATATGCTACCAAAAGAAGCAAACACTTAAAATTCTTAAAATGACGTTCTTAAAATTGTTTTGTCCATTCATGACTCAGTGGATAATTGCTAGCTCAGAACCATGAGCACATTTTGAGAAATGTTCCATTTCTACATTGGTAGTAAAAACCTCTTACTGAAGACTTTTTGAGATCAGGTGATCCAAGAAGCAAACACTTTCTAACAAATACTGAGGCAAATTGTTATCTTAACTTGAAGGTAGAAGAGAAAGAAAAAAAGAAGCTAATAAATATCTTAGCAACAAACCTGGGATATTGATAGTTTATATCCCTATGTGATTATCCTATCTTATGATTAAATTTGATTATCCCCTGCATAAGATACTGAATTAAGGAACAGGGCTTTAAAACAGATTTTATTGTGTTATGTAACTGCACTTAATTAATACACAGTACCAAGGATCCAAATGCTTTAGAATTAATGATTATACACTCTGCTGAGTTTAGTGTTGTTTCTTTTTTCATTTTATTAGTTTGGAAGAATATATAATATAATGTTCAGGACTCTTATAAAGCAAGAGCTTATTAGTTAAATGAGCATATTCATTACTGTTAAATAATTAGATTTATTCTATATTGAAACAGACCTAGAGAAACAATTAGTCTTTTTCAAAGGGCTAACAATATTTCATATTGTTATAACTGATTTTTGAACTTTATTTGTATTCAAGGGCCTCAACTAAGAAAACAACCCTGAATTTGGGTTTTATCTGTCATTTAGTGGGCATCTACTGTGTTGTACTTGTATTATATGATCATATCTTGAATATCTTATATCTTCATCCATCATAATACCTCACTACTCTGACAGATATACATTAGCATCCCCATTTTACACATGAGAAAATGGGTGAGAAGCTTGAATTTTTATGGCCATATAAAGTCAGAATTTGAACTCTGGTCAACTTGACTTTAAATCTTTCATAATTATTACTATAATTTTTTTTTACTCTTCTGTTTCTTTCAGAGGACTATATTCGTTATGCCCATGGCCTGATATCTGATTACATCACTAAAGAATTAAGTGATGACTTATCTAAATATTTAAAGTGAGTATTGTTCATCTTCAGTCATAATTAAGAAGTACCTTTTCACTTCTTGGTGTTCCAGCAATATGATTTTTTTATGACTTATCATATCACTGTTTCTGATAAGAGATTATTTTAGAGTTATGTTATAAACTGTATGGTTTGGAGTTGATTTTTAATGGGCATTCCTTGATTGAAATGAATTGATTTAGTGGATACTAATTGGAGAACTTGTGTTAGGATCGGAAGTATGGGTTGATATGATTTTAGACAGTGAACTATATTAAAATTTTATCCCTCCTTAGACTTAATAAATTTGGTTCTTTTGATCATTTTATTTATTTTTTCTAAATATATTTTATTGATTTTTTACAGAGAGGAAGGGGGAGGGATAGAGAGTTAGAAACATCGATGACAGAGAAACATGGATCAGCTGCCTTTCTGCACACCCCCAACTGGGGATGTGCCTGCAACCAAGGTACATGCCCTTGACGGGAATCGAACCTGGGACCTTTCAGTCTGCAGGCCGACACTCTATCCACTGAGCCAAACCGGTTAGGGCTCTTTTGATCATTTTAATAGAAATAAAAGTAGCAAAGAAAGTAGGTGTTGTGTAGAATATTTTTGAAAGTTACATTTAAAGATTTGTACCATTTTCATTAGATACTGAAATTGGAATTGTCTGAACTAAAAAATAAGGTGTTCACTGAGTAACTTTATTACACCTAGCACTTGGAATTCAAAAAAAGGAAAAAATAGAGTCTTGTGTCTTTAAGGACAGAGGGGTTTAAGAATAACCTCATTTGTGTTCCTTTCTATAATAATAAAAGCGTACTATACTAAGTAGATGGGACAGCCGAACAACCTTACAGACATCATTCTGGACGACCTTCCTGACAAAGCCATGGCGGCAGGGGCCGAGGCAGAGGCGCGGTTAAGGGTGATGAGGCAGGCAGGCGAGTGGTTAGGGGCAATCAGCAGGCAAGCGAGTGGTTAGGGGCGATCAGGCAGGCAGGCGAGTGGTTAGGGGTGATCAGGCAGGCAGGCGAGTGGTTAGGGACAATCAAGCAGGCAGGCTAGCGGTTAGGAGCCAGCGGTCCTGGAGTGCGAGAGTGATGTCCGACTGCCGGGCCTAAACCAGCCGTCGGACATCCCCTGAGGGGTCCTGGATTGTGAGGGGTGCAGGCCAGACTCAAGGGACCACTCCCTACCCCTCCTGCCCCTGTGCCCAAATTTCGTGCACTTGTCTTCTAGTATAAGACTTTACCTTAAAAAAAATGTTTTTTTTCTAGATTTAGGTAACTGTTTTTCTGATTTTATGTGTGTGATAAGTTAATGTACTTTCTCATCCCTATAATTACATTTTCCTCTCATACATGAAGATAAAATGACTTTTTAATAGATTTTAGTTGATGTTTTTAGCAAATTGCATAGGTCCTCCTTTAAAAAACAACTAGCAAAAATTGTTTTTTGTGGTAGTTAAAATGTGTTGAAAGCCTGCTTTAAATTGATAACCATATCCTTCTGTTTAATATTTCCCTGGATTACTTAGCTGCTCCTTATCTAGTTAGATACCTTATGTCTTTGTACTCCATTATATTTCACATTCCTTTCTTTCGACTAAAATTTTTAAGCTTAGGTTAAAGATTTGGGGAGAAAGATATGTCAATTAAACTTCTCTCTGGTGGAAAAAAAGGTAAATTTTGTGTGGCTTTTTGTCAACAGTTAATATAATTTTAACTTTTAAATATGTGCTAGATTCATTATTTATGAAGAAGAAATACTATAATGCCAAAAATGCAAATTTGTGGAGGCTAAAGAAAAGCAATTTGATTTCAACAAATGAGTTCTAATTTTATTTTTTAGTTCAGACAATTCCCATACAAGGAATTAGTGAAATGAAGATTGATTGATTGATTGATTGATTTAAATTTTGTAATTGATTATTTATTTTATTTATTATCATTATTTTTTAATCCTCACCCAAGGATATTTTTCTATTGATTTTTAGAGAGAGTGGAAGAGAGAGGGAAAGACAGAGAAAAATATCAATGTGAGAGAAGCACATTGATTGCTTCCCGAATGTGCCTTGACCAGGGCCCGGGCCGGGGAGGAGCCTGCAACCGTGATACTTGCCCTTGACCAGAATCGAACCCGGGACCCTTCAGTCTGCAGGCCAATGCTCTATTCACTGGGCCAAACCAGCTAGGGTAAAGATTTATTCATTTAGACAAATTTCATTCTTTACACTGAAATGATTGTACTTAAAGTATATAGAGCTGAAGCTGTCAGAAGAAAGAAGACTTACGGAATCTTAAATTGGCCCAGCTTTTCTGTTTGCTTGTCTATGAAAAACCAAGACTAAAAATCTTATTTTTCACTCCATAGGCTTCCAGAAGATCCCGCTTCATTGCCAAAACCTCCATCAAAGGTAAGAAGCTGTGACTAAGATATCTTGGGGAACCTGGAAAAATGTTATACTTTTACCACATACATTTAGTTTGCTGTAGTATATTTTAAAGCATTCTAAATCCACCTTGCATGGAGTGATGTTATGTAGAATAAAGATTGTACTGGGCTCGCCATCAATTTTTTTTATTTTTTTGTAGATTTTACCTGAATAATAAAGTACTGTCAAAACCCAAATAAGAGTTGGTTAACCAGATACCTATATAAAAATAGAGTAGATATCCTATATAATAAAAGGCTAATATGCAAATTGACTAAACGGCGGAACGACCAGTCGCTATGATGTGCACTGACCACCAGTGGGCAGATGCTCAATGCAGGCGCTGCCCCCTGGTGGTCAGTGCACTCCCACAGGGGGAGCACTGCTCAGCCAGAAGCCAGGCTCACGCTGGCGAGCACAGCAGCCGTTGTGGGAGCCTCTCCTGCCTCCGCAGCAGTGCTAAGGATGTCTGATCTGCCTCCGTGGTAGCACTAAGGATGTCCGACTGCCGGCTTAAGCCCACTCCCCACAGCCTAAGCCATCAGTCAGACATCCCCCGAGGGCTCTCGGATTGTGAGAGGGTGCAGGCCAGGCTGAGGGACCGCCCCCCCCCCCCCTCCCGCAAGTGCACAAATTTCATGCACCGGCCTCTAGTATAATTATAATTAAATATTCTTAGCCAGATCCTGTACTTGTCTTTATTAATCACCAGGAATACTAAAATTTTGCTAAATCTAGTTGTTACTGATACAAAGGTGCACAGAGCATGATTTCTGTAACACAAAGAATCCTTTGAGCAAGGATGACCATACTGTTTTTCCTGTACTTGAAGTGATCAACAAAATTTATGTATAATATTTATCTGTTAGTGGAAAGCCTTTTCCTTTTTCAGATGTTCTCAAACTGCCACCCATAGCTCCTCTGCACCGTGGACTGCAGCTGTGTTTGTCTCCGGATTGGAGAGTAGAGAAGTCAGTCACACACCACACCTGGTGGCACAGTGTGGCATCCAGTCCAGCCTGACCTCCGAGACAGGGAAATAGACACACATGCCAGCCTATCAGTGGGGCCATTCTCCTGCCAGCAAAATAGCAAATGCCTTAGAATGTAAAGTGGACATATTGTGGATGTTGAACAACTTTCCTTTTTCCCTGCCTTCAAGGTGGCAACATTCTTGGGACTTTTTTGTATCATGTCCTGTTTGGAGGTGGTGGTAGCTCTAAAAACATTTATTACTTTGATTTTTAGAAAGGATGGAAAATTTACAGTGCATCTGTGGGAGTTGTAGGCCATTTTCAGCTGATTATCAAAGGAGATTTCTCTCTCACTCTCTGGGGGAATAGCACTGGGCAGAAGTCAAACCACACTTCTTCCAGTCCAGTGGTCCACTGTCTCTGACAATGGCACTAGGGGACAGAGACATAATTGTCTAACTGAGAGGATAGGCGTGTTGGTGTCTTTCTTATTTCTTCTCTCCAAAAACTAAGCTTATATCTTTCTCCCAAATATCCATCTTCCTTGGTAACTAAGAGATTATTTATGAATGGCTCTAAACCTATTCTTGAAGCTTTTAGCCTTTGATTCTGTTTAGGGTAATGTGTTTCATAAGTTTATTCTTCTTGGATCCAGTTTTCTGATTTCTTGTTTTAATTTCCAAAATGTAAGTTGTTTGTGACTTCTTTATTTATGAGTTAGGTGAGGGGTCAGCAAACTTATTCTGTAAAGGCCAGTTAGTATTTTAGGCTTTGTGAAGCAGATGATCTCTGTCGCAGCTACTCAACTCTGCTGTTAAAAGTGCAAAGAGAGCCACAAACAATTCATGAATGAACCAGTGCGCTGTGTTCCAGAAAAACTTCATTAATGAAAGCAGGTGGCCAGCTGGATTTGGCATGGACAGTAGTTTGCCAAGCCCTGTTTAGGTCTTGGCATCCTGCTTCTCTTAAATTTCAGCCCTGCCTCCTGGATTATTTTAGCTGCTTTTCGAGGTCTCCTGTTCTATAGGGTCTTCCTGGGGCTCCAGTGTGCACAGTGCAAACTGCACTGGGTGAAGTACCACATTTTAAACAAGCATAGGACAATGTCTTCTGCTAGCTCTCCTATCCAGGATTTGATTGATTTTTACGTAATTTAGTATACTGTTTTCAGGAAATACATTCTAATGGCTCATAGGTATCTGTATCTGTGTTGTAATCGATAGCATGGAGCCATGTTTTGCATTACTTTCTTACTATCATATGTGTGCCTATGTTGAAACTCAGCTTCCAACCCTCATCCTCTCCCGTCTTTTGAATTAACACTGTCAGCTAGCAGAGCCTAATGCAATCAGTGGATTTGGAGATGTTTCTCAGTTTCTTCTTGCAAATCATTTGTAAGAATGATAAGACCAATCTATCCTAGCATTAATTCTGGTGGTCCTCTGCCCTTTGCTCTTTTCTTTCCAGAACTGTACCCATTTAGTCAGACCCTTTGTTACTAGTGCATATACATCTTTCTGAGTCACTTTTTTTTCCTTCGGAAACAGTACCCCAAATCAAGAGGCCAGTTAGTATTTTAGGCTTCGTGAAGCAAATGATCTCTGTTGCAACTACTCAACTCCAGTCTTTTAAATAACAACAACAACAACAAAATAATAAGTCAATATAACAATTATGGTTTGTTTGGTTTTTCAATATATTCAACAATGTGCTGGGAATAACATGAAACCTAGTTATGTGCAGAGACTACTACCATCATTTTCTTTTTTTGTAAGTACTTATAACTTGTGTCTTGTATGATAGTGAGCTGTTAAAGCACCTAAACAAGTCAGTCATCTTTTTATATGTTTAATATTTATAAGAAACATCTGTCATCTTAATCTCTTGCCATTTTTATTTGACTTATCAGTGAAAAGCAAATAAGCCCATATGTTTATGACATCATCTGTATTAGAACATTTTGGCATAGGAGAAAAGCAAACATCCTCAGAATCTTAAGTTTTTTCATTGTGAAACTATTAGAGCCTTCATCATCACCTATGCGTTCTACTCTCCCAGTTGAAGATACTTTCCTAGTAAAAATGTGCATCACCTAAACACGTCTTAATTTTAGTAGAACCATGGATTCTTGAGAAAGTTGCTTGATCACTTACATTCACTTTGCTGGTACATAGTTCATACATGATAAACTAGTCTTTTTCTTTTGAAGATTCATTTGCTAGAGGTTACTGTGTGGCCAAGAGAAGGTTTTCCCCATTATGTGACATATTCCCAGATGCCCCTCTGTTTGTTCCAGTGAAGAATTTCAAGGATGTTGTTTTATCCCCTGATATACATGTGCTGTGGCATCTTTTAACGGCCTCCCAGTTCTGTGTTTAGCAAAAGCTGGGGTGCGAAGAGTGAAGCTGGGAACAAATATGTATTTCCTAGGTGGATCCATATTGGGTCTTTTCAACCTGGTGTCCACAAAGAGTTTGAAGATCTGTAAAATTATTTTTTTTTCTTTTCTTTATTTTATTATTTTTTTTTCTTCACCCTATAACTAAAGATCTGTAAAATTCTGAGTTGGGATCTCTGTGTACTCAATACTCCATGCTAAAAACTTATCAGCCCTGCTATCTGCCCTTTATATAATAAACTAGAGGCCCAATGCACAAAAATTTGTGCACTCGTGGAGGGTCCCTCAGCCCGACCTGTGCCCTCTCACAGCTTGGGACCCCTCAGGGGATGTCCACCTGCTGGCTTAGGCCCGCTCCCCGGGGGATTGGGCCTAAGCTGGCAGTCAGACATCCCTCTGGCAGCCTGGGAGCCCTCGTGGGATGTCCACTTGCCAGCGGGGAGCAGGCCTAAGCTGCAGTCAGACATCCTTAGGGCTGCTGAGGAGGCAGGAGAGGCTCCCGCCACCACCACTGTGCTGGCAGCCGTCAGCCTGGCTTGTGGCTGAGCAGAGCTCACCCTGTGGGAGTGCACTGACCACCAGGGGGCAGCTCCTGCATTGAGCGTCTGCCCCCTGGTGGTCGGTGTGTGTCACAGTGACCAGTCATTCCCAGTCGTTCTGCTGTTAGGGTCAATTTGCATATTACCCTTTTATTATATAGGGTAGAGGCCTGGTGCACGGGTGGGAGCCAGCTGGTTTGCCCTGAAGGGTGTCCCGGATCAGGGTGGGGTCCTGCTGGGGTGCCTGGCCAGCCTGGTGAGGGGCTGATGGCTGTTTGCAGGCTAGTCAAGCCCCCCAGTGGGGAACCTTACCCCATGGGGGTGTGGCCAGCCTGGGTGAGGGGCCCAGGGCTGTTTTCAGGCTGGCCACAGCCCCTTTGGGGTGGGGGGGTCCTGCTGGGGTGCCTGGGTGAGGGGCTGAGGGCCGTTTTCAGGCTGGCCACGCCCCCCAGCGACCCAAGCTCCCTGCCTGTCCTTTTTTTCTTTTTTTTTTCAGCAGGTATCTGGCATTTATTTAACTTCTATAATTGAAACTTTGTAGCCTTGAGCGGAGCCCAAGTCCAGCCAGGGCAGGTGGGAAGCTTGGCTTCCTCCATCACCAGGGGTACCCCAAGCCTCCTGCTCGCTCCAGCTCCGTGGCCGCCGCCATCTTTGTGATGGAGTGATGGTTAATTTGCATATACCCTTTTATTAGATAGGATGTGGCATGATTCCTCTATAATGTGAATGTTAAGGCTAAGTTTAGCTATTGACAAGATTCTCACGCTCATTGGTGCAAAATGCTAATGTGAAAAGGGAAAACACGAAGTAAAGGTCAACTTAGTTGGATTGTGCCTAATGGAAAGAGCACTTGTACAAAAATTGAGATCTCACCCTAAGTCCTCTGCTAGGTGGCCTTAAGTTACTTGTTTAACATCTCTGTGCTTCCTTCTTCCTCTGGCTGCTTGCTTTGTGAAGTTGTTCTTATGTGATAAAATGAGATTATTGAATTGAAAGGAGGTAACAACATGAAACTATATAAAGATGATAATAAATGCGGTTTCTAAATGGACATTATGCCAGCTCAGGAGG